TCTTTCAGAAACATCAAAGTTGATAAATAATTGATAATCTTAACCTTTTCTATACATGTTATTTGAATTTCCTCTATAGAGGCATAATGAAATATGTATATGTAAATATATTTAATAATTTCACTTTATTAATCAATTGACACGTCCAAATAAAGTACAAATCAAAAATTGTTACACCTAAAACGGTTCTAACTCATGATATCAAGTGAAAAGCTGATAAAAAAACTGTATGAATAGTTCAGCTTACATCAGATCAACAGTTGTTACAAGAAATCACTTGATCGATTTCATCCGCCTAGAAAGATCGATTAGTTTTTTTTAAAGCCAGGATACTACAGGAATCAATCCAGGTAAGCTGTCAGTAGCCATGGCAATACTAGTAGCATCCTGATTTTAAAAAAAACCAATCGATCTTTCTAGGTAGATGAAGTAATTTCTTGTAACAATTGTTGATCTGATGTGAGATGAACTGTTTATACAGTTTTTTTTTATGAATTAATGTTTTTTATCAGTTTTTCAGCTGATATCATGAGCTAGAGCTGTCCTAGATGTAATAATATTCGATTTTTTCCTGTATTTGGACATATCAATTGATTAATAAAGTGAAATCAGTAGTTATTTAAGATATTTTATTTCTATTAATAATAAAGTGCATGTAAGACTATTATACAATATAATATTTTCTAAATAATTGATTATTCATATCTGTATGCATATCAACATACTTCGCCAATAAAACATAATCAACAGAATTTTTCAAATTTTATTCAACACTTCTATTTATTGAATGATACTACATTTTCTGACAGACAAAGTATTGCAAAACTGTTGTCACAACTGACGTTCTTTTTTAACTGTAAAAAATTCTAATAAACATTAGTCGTTTATAAATCTCAGTTTTCTAGAATCGATATGAACCAAATATAGATTAGATTTGCCAAGTTTTATTTGTTCAATTCTACGAACTTCTATATTTATTGATTGACAAAAAGAATGCCAGAAACTTTTCAATTTTACTACAATCTAAGCTTCGTAGTAATTTTTTCAATGTTTGTTTTTTTCTTCAATACTTATATTCATATGAAATAAAAGTTCTTAATTTACATACCACCCGAAGTTTTGCTTCTTCAAGAACTGAATAAGATCCTGGTAGAGGTATAAAACCCATACATGATCCTTCTCGTACAATTGTATATCCAATATCACCGAGTACATATACACAAGCAAAAAACCGAACAATAATATTTCGTAATTGTAAAGATGCAAGTACCGGATAATATCAAAGTCTAGACAAGTAAACAAATCAAAATAAGGCTTTGTTTTCTTTCAAAAGACACTATACCCGACAATACTACTAGTTACTAGTCTTATAATTAACTCAATCAATACACCACGATTTAATAGTTCATATGAACCAAAAAATAATTCTTCAAAAATTTTTACTATTGCATAAAAAATAATTCCAAAAACAGCTGCTGTTGTAAAACGATTTTCTGTATGAAATGGTTTAATTGGTGTTAATAAACCTAAATAGAAAATTTCATCAATAGAAAAAATTCAATTCTATTATTTTTACCACGTCTACCATAACATATATTTGAATATTGTTTTTCTCGTTTAATTGACCAAGAAAATATTATTACTAAACTCAATGCAAAAGGAGCAAATGATAAATTTTCCTTTCGATAATCGAAATCTTTTTCACATTTTTTTAGTAAATGAATAATATCAATAGTTAAAGTTCCTACATTTTCATCATTAATTTTATCAATTTTAAATAAATCATAATATCTTAATGTTATTATGTTAAATAAAGTTGATAAAAATAATAAACTTAGAAGAGCAACCCAAATATTACGAACAAGAGTATGCTTAATTGGACTTGTTAATGACCATTGAACTCTTTAAAAAAAGAATACGATTTATCAATTTAGTTAAGACATAAAGTAGTATGAAAAAAACATCAAAACTTTTTCAAAGTGAATTACCTGATTTTCTTTGAAATAGATGTATCAAGTTCTTGTTTATCATTTGTTTCAGTTACTGATGATTGATTTCCATTGCCATTATGAACTCGATTGAATCTACTAGAATAGGTAATAGTTCTTCATTATCAATTGGAAAACTAATATTTATTTTCCTTTTGATTCTGAATGTTCATTTTCAGATGAGAATTTCTTCGTTCGAAACCCGTAGATTTTATGTACAGATTCATAAGACCTCAGTTGAAGTAAAGAATCGAAAAAGACTCACTAAAGTTAGATTTTTGTTATCGATGTAAGAAACTAAGTTAATGGTAAAAATTCGAAAATTTCATTCTCATAAAAATCAAAGTTTTTTAAATAATTCAACTTAATTTAGTTCTAAGCATTGAAAAACAATATCTTTACTAAGTATTATGAAGTCAAGATCTTGAACTAAGATATGTATATCACATATTTATATCTCAATCTGATCAAATTTATTTATATCTCATAGCGTATATATAATTTAAATCCTGCCGTATAGGCTATTCAATGATTATAAAAAGATGACAACATTTCAGTAGTTGGTATCATTTGTTATTATTGATTACAATAAAATTTACTTTGTATTTAGTCAGATAATTCTTGCAATTAATGAAATACCTTAATAAGCGTTGAACTAAAAAAAAAAGAAAAGTTCAATTAGTTTAATATGAAAAACCATGTCTCTCTCTATTGTATATCATGTCTAATTTTGAATTTAGTAGTCAGACAAATATCAAGCATTTTTTTTT